CAGCAGCAGCTCAGCTCAGGCCGTGAATCAAACCGGCCACGCTGTTGCTCAAAGCTCACACTCTTAAGCGAGCGCTTACCCAGCTGAGCCACTCAGCCAGCCCCCAGATTTTTTATTTTTTAATCAGGTGTGTGATTCCTTTTGACTACAATTTTCTAAATGCGAAGCTCCATCTTAAGTCCAAATGCATAGTTATACCGCATAATAAAATCTTAATTCTATGGTTTTCCAATTTTAAAGATAAAGTTACAATTTTTTCTTGATTATAAAGTTAATAAATGCTATATGTTATTAATACATATAAAGTTAAACATAGCAATGTTGACAACACAAAAATATGTAAATAAATAAGAAACTAAAAAGACTCATAATCTCACTGCCCCAAAATGATATTACCATTTGGACATGTTTCTATCCAGTATTTTGTCTATACATACTTGATATAATTTTTGGGGGGCCAGTACCTGATCACCTGGTGGTGTGTACACGAGCATGTGCTATATAGGCTTACTGTTCCAGTCTTTGACTTTGAATCTTGAGGGAATGTACAAAAGAACAACACTTAGAGTTGGTGTGAGGTGGCTGCAGGTGAGTCAAAAGTGTGGCAGTCTAGCAGTGAGCAATCATTAATGGTGGAGTGTGGTAGAGTGACAAGAGTTGTCTAGTGGCAGGGATGCTAGTAGTAGCTTCCTAATCAGTTTATCTCTGCAACATGATCCTGACTCTATTTTGCCTCTTTGAATTTCTGCCTGTTTTCTCCTAACTTGGTTCTCAAGCCTTTTGGTCAACGTTGTGAGTTCCCTCACCATACGTTTCCTTATTGTTTCTATTTGATTCTTGTTTCTTTTACTTGCAGCTGAATGCATCCTATTTGGTCGTCGGGAAAGTCATGATGCATTTTTCTGTTTTTCAATGCAAAAATGCGTCATGACTTTCCCGACGACCCAATAAGTGATATACTAGGGTAAACCTATAAATTTGCCAATGTTAGGCCATTTGTGACCTACAAAATTGTAATTTTATATGGTTCAGTCTAACAGAATTTGGTAACAGGAGCTGCGGTGCTTGAAATGTGGAACTGAATGATTCAAGAAGGGGCAGTAGAGGGTGTGATGCCCCACTTTTCTGGGCTTGCAAAGATTTTTTTATTTAACCACCACAAAATATTGGGTTGTTGGAAAAGTAGTAACGTATTTTTTCTGTTTTTCATTGCAAAAATGCGTCACGACTTTTCCAACAACCCAATAGTTGGTTTAATCAATTGTCTCTAAAGTAGAGTAACAAATCTATTCATTCCAATGTGGAAAGATATTATTGTAGATCATGTACTTTTATATTTTTATTTTTAATATTGAAAAATTAAGCTTAACTAGTATTTAATATATAAATTGACACTAGTGTCCTCACTCAATTCATATATATCAAATCATTTTATGTCACTAAGGTATGTAGTAGGCATGACTCTAGGTTTTCTGGGACCTGATACATCTATATTTTGGGAAGCTTTCTTAAAGTAAACAATACAAAAGAGTACAAAAAAGGGATGAATGCAAACTGTTATTTAGATGAAGAAAAGAATAGGAATTTCAATTTCCTGTGATTTTCTTATAAAGAGAAAAAAAGCGTATGGTGAGTTCATAATTTTATATGCCTCATTATTTAGTATAGTCCTGCTGGTAGAGACTTCATTTTGACTAGGCATTAATGAGAACCAAGTCTTCCACGTATAATTTTGCCTGTCTCTTTAGACTAATTTTCTAAAGAATAGTGTCTGATTCCATGTTTCACATTTTCCTTCTCCTCCTCTACCCACATACTCCTCGTGTCTAACATGGCTGGACTCTCTTAGAGCATGATATGACCTCTGACCTTGCATCTTCACATCACAGCAGCTGAGTCAGCATAGTGGCAGTAAAAATATTCCTGGAAAGCATTCCTATATCAGGATGGCTTGTCAATCCATTAGAATGTATTTATGTGAACTTACACGTAAGTATTTTCCATTAAACCTGAACCAAATGTACCTCTCATTCAACTTCCACTTAAATCTAAGAAGATGCCTGGTGCACTCCAACCCCCATCTGACATGAAACAGGGGTGTATGATTCAGAGGAAAGTGGCGTGGAAAGGAATAGTAATCTCAAACAACGTGTGCAAGGCTCACATGAAAGTGAGGGGCTTTGAATCATCAACTTCTTTCACTTCCCACATAATGCCTCCTGTTGGGGCAATCCTGAGGAAAGAGGGGGATTTCTTCCCCAGTGCAGAGTATTCTAAAGAGCATCCCTCACACAGGCGCTTAACATGCTTTACTTGCAGTGTATTGTGATACATGGCAGTTTCTGAGACTCCAGTACAGATTATATTTTCTAGCTTTAACTAAACTAACCATCACAAAATGCCCAAGTGTCTTAAAAAGAATGCTAAGAAACCATGGTTCATAGCCAATAGTAATAATGTAAGTACAAGTGAAAGACAAGAGAACAGCAGAGCCAACACTAGTTTACTTCTAGTATGAATTCTTTTAAGTCACACAATGAGATGAAAACAATGATAATGTAGTCAGATTTGATGAGTTGGTGAAAAAATTTCAAGCCTATTTGAAATATGGATTTATATGCACTAATGATGATATGAGGTTATGATTAGCAAGGCATTTAAAAATCTCGTTTACTTCATCCTCTAAAATTTTATACTTGTGTGTGTGTTCATGGTATAAAAATGTTAATATGAAATGCCTTAATAAAATGTTTACATTTACATATAACTGCATATTTTTAAATATTATACTAATAGAAATGAGTATTTTAAAAAGTCTGGGGAACACAGGGCTAAACTATGGTCTGTAGTATGTTAGAACCAAAGTCATGCTCCTACAGAGATCATTTGAAGTGAGAATGATAGTATGTGTTAACTATTTATGGATTATGGATTTTCCCCAAACATCAGGCCTTTGTCTACATGTTGTCATACAATAGGTGAAATGTGTTAGACAACCTTTGGAATGTCTGCTTAGCTCAAAGCAACGATCTTTCACTGACAATTCTCCATCCTTTCCTAACTCACAGAGTGGAATTCCTAAGCCACGTTCTTACTCTGTGACCCCATCCCCTTAGACAAACTTCATTGGACTAGGAGTAGATTCCTATAAAAAGTGAACTGATCAGTTGCTTTCTCCTTAGAATTTTGTAATTGAAACTAAGACACACAACCATTTTCTTGAATGGTGAAGATCTGAACTCTGGAGCTGATGTTCCCATTGTTGTGTAGCTGTGTGCAAGGAAAGGCGAGTTCCTCTACTCAGCGAAGTAGATGTACAGAGAAACTTAGAATGCCAGAAGCAGATGTAGAGGCTACCTGAGGACATTATCTACCTCATTTCTAACCTCTTTACTACTTTTCTTAAATATTTTGATGTTTATGTCGTTTATACTGTTGGGAGTGATGTCATTGTGGGAAAGGAGCCAGAGCCAAAGAATGTGGGGAAGGCAGGAAAATGGAGTCTCTCCTTTAGTCTCCAGAAGGAATGCAGCCCTGCTGACACCTTGATTTTAGCTCAAAGAGATCCATTTTGGACTTCTGACCTCCAGAACTATAAGATAATAAATTTGTGTTGTCTTAAGCTACTAAATTTGTGATTTGTTACAGCAGCAACAGGAAACTAATGCAGGTGGGCTAGAAGGAAGTTAACATACCATTGTCAAAATCTTCCCAAGCACCTTGGACTTTCAATTCTATGTAGATTTGAATTGGAATTCCAGAGCTGAGAGGAACTTTCATGGAGGACTGGAGGGAAAGGACTTGTCTAAGGTTATTTGGCTAGTCAGTAGTAAAGCCAGGACAAGAACCCAAGTCTCCAATCTTTTTTATCTACATACATTAAAGAGGTTGGTATGTAGAAGGTAGTCAATAAGTGGTAGAGTGTTTTGTTGTTGTCGTCATTATTATTATGCATAGTTTTGTAATCTATAATAATATTTCATTTTTTAAACATCTCCAAGTAAGCAGGTACCCTGTGCAAAAGAACCAAAAATTCAATGGAGTAAACTGAAAGGCTTAATTGGCTTTACTGAATGACATGAATTTTGGGCAGCATCCCATCTAGAAAAAAGAAATGTGCTCCAGAAACTGTACAAAATGGATGGCTTTTATATGTAGACATGAGTGGGATAAAAACGTTAAGAGTGAATTATCAAGATCACCTCTCCTTAGCAGAAGGCAGGGGGTCTTATCAGATAGATTACCTCACTAGTGTTAACCAGAAAATTCCAGCCTGATTGGTTTGAAATTCCACTCCTGAGAGAGGCTGAAACTGCAATTAAGTTAGGTATTAAGTCATAGTAGGGCTTACTTACTACAAGTGACTCCATTTGGGGTCTGTTGTTTCTTTTTAACACCTGAAACAGTATTTCAAAATTTATTTTAAATATGTAATATTTTAATTAATAAATATTAATAATTAATAATATTAATAATGGTAATAAAATTATATTTTTTAAAATTTAAAAGCAAACCAGGGAGTGAGTGAGGAATCACTGGGCCAAGAAGCAGAAGAGAACTGGGTCCATATATTCAGAGTGCTTTTGCCCTTGGGGGACATTTTAGATTATTCAAACGATATGGTTGAGAGGTTGAGCTGCACTTTTGACATCTAGAGGAATAAAATATGGACTATGGGACCTGCCAAGAGTGGTGAATCTGGTAAATCATGTTTTGGGCTGGTCCTCGGCAGGACAGTACCTGGGAGGTAAAGGCGAGCCAAACTACCGTCCATATTTTCCCATGTATAAGACGCACCTTAATTTTGGGGCCCGAAATGTGAAAAAAATGTATTACATAAAGTTATTGAACTCAAGTTTTATTCATCATAAAATTCATACAACTCCTCATCACTGTCAAAACTCCCAACCATTAGCTTGTCCTCATCTGTATCTGATGACAAATCACTGTCTTCATATATTGCCTCGTCCTCAGGAAATGCAAGTAAAAAAATCTACAACCACTGTATAAGATGCACCCAGGTTTTAGACCCCAAATTTTTCGAAAAAGGGTGCGTCTTATACATGGGGGAATACGGTAAATTAGTTCCCTCAAGGTTCTCAATCATCTGGATTTGTTGGTGCCCCAAGGTACCTGCCAGAAGAAAATGAAAACCCTTTGTTAAAAAAAAAAAATCATCATGAGTCTCACATTGTATCTTCAAGTGTTTCAATTATAACGTCAAACACATGAATATAATCAGGTAACAAGACAACATGAGTGAGAACCAGCATAAACAATACACAACAAGTAACTAGAACAAAGAACCAATAACAGACACAATTGGACTCCAGATATTGGAATTATCGGTGACCCAGATTGTATACCACTGATATCTACTATATTCAAAGAGATAAAAGCCAAGATTGACAATGTTGGCAAAGAATTAGATGCTAACACGGTAGGAGAGAGAATTAGTAATATAGAAAATGTCAGAAAAAAAAGCTATTCGAAATGAAGCATAGGGAGATAAAAGAATAAAAAATAAATAAATAAGAGAAGGTAAGAGAAATAGTAAATAGTAAATAGAAAAGATCTAACACATTTAATTGGAGGTATAGAGGAAAGAAGAAAGATTGGGGCAGAAACAATATTTGAAAAAGTAATGACTGAGAATTGTTTAGAAGTCATGAAGGGCATCAACCAATGTATTCAGGAGACCCAGTGAATCCCAAGCATTATAAATAAAAAGAAATGCACTCCCAAACATATATAATGAAAGAGCAGGAAAAAAAATCTCAAAAGCAGCCAGAGGGGAAAAAAAACCCTGATAACCTTCAAAGAAACAGCTACACTGACAGCTGACTTTTCACAGGCAACAACAGAAGTCAGAATCTTGAAATTAGTTTTAAGTACACTGAAAGAACATAAACTGCTTCTGTCATCACATCTTCTCTGACTCTTGCCTTCTTTCATTTATAAGGACACTTGCCATTACTTTGGGCCCACCAGGAAATCAAGGATAATCTCCTTATCTCAAGATTCTTAATCCTACCTGCAAAATCCTTTGTGCAATGGCAAGGTAACATATTCACAGGTTCTGGGGATTGGGATGTGGCTATCTATGATGGGCCATTATTGTGCCTACCACATTATCTCAAAACTGTCCCCACCCTTTATCATGAGTGGCTGTTCTATGAAGCTCCAAGGAAAAAAAGGAAATTGTACAGTATTTCCAAGAAGCAGAAGAGGATAGGGCATTTTGCATACTCCCTCATTTAAAACCATATCAACTTTCAATCTTGGTTAAGTAAATATTATTACCCTGATTTTAGGGCTTCTAAGATTGAACATGAGAAAAATTAGGTAACTTGACTAAGGTCATCTAGCTAGTAAGAGTCTGACTAGAAATTTGTATCCAGATCACCAGATTCTGGTCTCTATGACTCCAAGCTTTTCCCACCATACCCAGTACAGATATTGCTTGGTTTATCATTGTATGAATGATTTCTGGCCAGTTCATATCTTAGGCAACAGTCTCTAATTTGGTGGATTTTTAAATGGATGAAAAAAACATTAAAACGGGGGGGAGGGGCCGGTTTCAAACCGGAACGACATCTTTGAATAAAGTATTGGTGGCAAAAGTTCTTTCTTTATTGACCACTGAGCCGGTTAAATCACTTCGATTCTTTTAAGGCCTCATTTCCCTCTTCTGTAAATTGAGATGTTTAGACTTCATAACACCTCTTCCAGTTACCTTCTTGCCGGGATATTCTGTGATTCTAGGTGAGAAACCTCTTGCAAGATGCCTCCACCTTGTTGGGTGGGCTCCAGGATGACTGCATTTAAGTTAGAGGTATCTGAATTATTCCAAAGAAACCCAACTGCAGATCTAAGGAGGAAACAATGAAGGACAATGAATGGGGGAAGAGATGAAAGAAGATGACATAAGATAGAGCCGGAAACATAAATAGCATGCAAATAACATAAGTAGCATGCAAATAACTGAAGTAAACAACGGGTGCCTAGCGTTTACAAGGCAAATGAAACTCTGCTGGTCTCTGAGAAGGGGATGCAGAGGTAAAACACTGTTCTCGCTCTCGAGGAGCTCATAAAATGGTTTATACTTCGTATTTAATCGTGGACATGTAACTCCCACCTTTCTAGAAGCCCTGGCTGTGAGAAATGTCAGGAAAACCGAGAAGTGAAAATATTACAAAACGTTTGAGTGTGCCTGGGGCAACGTGGAAACCGTGTCTGGAAACTGGGACGTCCTCCCCTCCGCCCCCCGGGCTCCGCTCCCGCCCGCAGGCTTAACCCAGACACACAAAAGAAGCTGCCTCTGCCCTCAGGGACGCAGCTTTTCTTCTCAGCCCGCGGAGTGGTGGGGCTGCAGAAGAGACCGCTGCCCGGGGGGGCTCCCAGCCGCCCCCGCCTCATCCCTCAGGCCTCGGAAGTGACGTAGAGCGCCCCGCCCCCGCCGCTAGATCCGCTGCTCCTGCCGCGGCGGGCGGATCTGCAGGAGGCGGCGGCGGCGGCAGCGGCGGCCAAGGCCGAGGAAAGATGGCGGACGGTGTGGACCATATAGACATTTACGCGGATGTGGGCGAAGAGTTCAACCAGGTACGTGAGGGCCACAAGCCCACGCGGCCAAAGCGGGCAGCGCTGCGGCCCGGACGCTGACCCGGGCCCGCCGTGGGCTGCGGAGCCGGCGCGGCTGCAGACCGTGCGCCCTTGCCGCCCGTGGGCCGTGCTGCCCGCCTCTGGCGCGGCGTCCCCCCAGCCCCTCGTTCTACCGCGACGTTTCGCGGGCCGCGGGCGGTGCGGCCCGCCGCGGGGCCCAGAGCGCGGACGCGGGTCGCCCTGCAGCCGCCGTCGGCCCCTCCCTCGCCTCCCATTGTTAGCGGCGGCCGGCGGGCGCTTCCCGCCGCGCTAGGCCCGGGCAGCGGGGCCGCGTGTGTGCGGCGGGGGTTCAGAACGGCTCGCTACCGCGCCCCCTCCCCTGCCGCCGGGTCAAGGAGGGAGCCCGGCGGGGCGCGCGCCGGCCCCCGCCTCTTCCCCGGCCTTGCTTGCCGCTCGGGCTCCGATTGCTCTCGTCGCTCCATTTTGTCTCCCTGTCCGCGCACGGTCGCCTCATGGAAGGCCGCGTTCACCGCCCTTTGTATCCCGCGCGCCGGGTTTCCTGGGCTCTCCTCGCGTTTGCGACAGGTTTCGGCGTGCCGCCTTTCTCCTCCTCCCCTCACACTTGCTGGCGGCGGCTTGGATGTGGCGCGTTTGCAACAAGTCCTTTGACTTTTGGACCCACATAGATCGTTTGAAAGTCGATGCGCTAGGTCCTGACACGGTGGTTGAGGGCTTGCAGTGCCTTTGAGGCCCGGTCGTTCTTGGCCTTTTTGATGACATTACCTGTGAAGATAGGTGGTCTGGGCAAAAGGAAGACTTGGAATCGCGATGGTTGGAACAAAAAAGATGGTAGCTCTCACCAAGAGATCAGAGGAGTGTTAACATAAAGAACGCCCACCTGAAATGCGTATGCTGTAGTTTAAAAATAAAGGGTTGTAGACATGACCCGATTTTCAAAAGCAAAATGTTAGATGCCCTCCGAGGGATCTGCTTTACGTTTTGAAAGGTTGGAGAAAGTGAGAATGCAATGTTTTTCCGGTCTCTCAACAGGCCACAGTTGGCCTAGAACTAGCCGCGGAGGTACGATGTCTGATGCTGGGCATCCTTGCAAAAGATCTCGTACTAGAACAGTGACGTTTAAGCTCTAAACCTGCTGTTCACATCTTGACTGCCTTTTATGTAGTAACACATTTTAAAAAATCAAATTGTGTCTAACTGCAGTGCACCTGAAACCTTTAATTTTTTTATATTTTCCAGGTCCGTATGAGAAACTTAATAAAATTCTGCTGATTAATGTGTTTTTTTCCCTTCCGTTAAGGATCTTATTTGTGACTAGGGGCTCAGGATTTTTTTTTTTAATTGCGAAAGCTAGAAATCCTTACCGTTCTTTTTTACAGGAATGACTTTGTGCCCGTGGCTTAAATATTAGAAACAAATTTCCAGTTAGCTTAAATATTTCCTACTCCGTTAGAGACTGAATATGTTTAAATGTAACCCAGTGTAATCAAACGTTAAGCTTTAAAATTTTTGTTCTTTTTAATTGTGCCTGTGTTTTGAATATATGATGCCTTAGTGGTGTCAATGACAAATTAGAAAATTATCTTGAGTGCTACAGTCAGATTCTAATGCTTTTAAGCCAGCAAAGACTTTCAGGAATTTTTATTTCTCAAATGAGTATAACATTTCGCCCCAAAAAGGGCCATACCTGCAAGCAGAGGAACACTTAAGTGTTCAAATCTCTTCTCATTAGCTTTTCTTGCAAGAATATATATTTGCTTTGCCTTTCTACCCACAATAAAGGAAATTGGTGTGCAGATTTAGAAGTTGGGCTTTCTTTAGGACCTCTCCATTAAATATATTTTAGGCTTTCACAAACTTAATTTGGGATGGGCATTTCTCTATTCCATATTGCTGGATGAAGTAATACATGCTTATCTCTGTGCTGTAACTAGTGCTAACTGACTGAACAAGGAGGTAAGAAGAGATTAGAATTTTGTGGCCCTGGCGAGGAACTACTTTATGGGGTCCTTTTTAAAATGTAACTTTGTTGACTTGTACCAATAGCATTATATCTCACACATAGTTGTATAATTTTACCAGTAAAATATGTGTACTTTTGGATAGATTAATAGGGGGATTAAATAGAGGCTTTGTTTTCTTATTTTGCATGTTATTGGCCTTTGTACTCTACTGCTTGCTGTGGCAATTCCTGTACAAAATATGGCCAAAACAAAAAGAATAGTTGGTCATTTTCAAGGTTCATCCTGTGTTTTTAAATGTTACTAATATTGAAATAGTTTTCTGAAATTTTATCAGAATTAGAGGCAACTACAAAATTATTACTGATTAATTTGTACTCTATTAGCTGGTGACCTTATTTGTATGTGTATAGTAAACTGATTCTTTATTGTAGTTGAGTAAAATGTTTTACTAAGTATAACCAGTCTTGACTTTTCTAAACTACTGTAAACATTTAAAAATTTTTTTTTACTTTAATGCGAACTGCAGTTTTCATTGAATTTGTATACTTTGAAATTCTCTAGTGTATGTATTTCCCATTCTATTTTAAATAGTCATACTTTCATGAAGCTTTTTTGGTGTTTGTATTTTGGGAAAGCACAGTATAAACCTATTTCAAAAAGTGTGAGACATTCAGCTGTCTTAGAAGAAACTTTAATTTTGAAATGGGGTGAGAATAAGTTAATGAAACTATAGTTCTTTCTTCACCAGAACTTAAGAATGGGAATAAAGCTGAAGAGGAGAAGGCACAAGGGACTGAGCTATTCTTTATGGGTGATCTTTAGTTCTTAAATTGAAGGTCTTTGGATGTAACCAAATCGAGAACAGTTGCTCCAGTGGAAGGAGAATTTGAACTACTTCCAAACCTCTACATTACTTCAATTTGGAGTTGAGAAGAAAGCGGTTCTGTTTTAGCCTTTAGAGTGTATCAGTTCAATTTGAACTGGGATTTGTACCCAAATTAGTGTTAATACCCTAATAGTAATTATAGACTTTTATTTTGACCAAAAAGTAAATAAAATTTAAAACTCAGATTGTTCAAAATACATTTTTGGGTATCTATTATATGCGAACAAGGAGGGATACAAAGTTTAGGTAGTCTCTACCTTTAGAGTGCACTGTAGTGTGGGTGAGAGACACCCAGGTAATTATAATACTGGACAGGTTGTATATTGTAGAATCCACTTATATATATATATATATATATATATATATATATATATATATATATATATATAT